GACCTCTAAAAATGCCCCAAATCGTAAAAATACGACTTTTTGGATTTTGATCTCCTTTTTTCGGCTACCCCGGACATTTTCAAAAAATGATACAATGATTTCACACAACAGGCCAGCTATTAGCCTCTCGATTGACAAGAGTTTCATCGCCCTCCATTCATTATAACCAATGTCATCGTGCCCTAAAGAATCAACAAATCAGCTTGCTTATCTCTGCTTACCCTAGGCAAAAAATATTCATTTTTGAACTCAATCATGACATTGACCTAGTGAACGCCTACACCAAGTTTGAACATTCTAGCTTAATTAGAAGGAGAGTTCTTGTGTTCCAAAGTCCCGGCCCTTCAAATTGCTTCTATTTTTCATTTTCAATTCAAAATGGTGACCATCACGTGACCGAAATCAAAATTCTGATCCGATAGATTTTTAGGTATTCCTTCCAGGATTCCGAAAATATGACGCCCGAGTCTGTAAGTAAAATAGCAAAAAAGCCTTTTTGATTTTTCACGTTTAAAGATGGTGGCACTTCCGGTTCGATCGACAAACTCCATATTTTGTGTACGAATCAGTAATTACTTGTCTAGTATCGAATTTTTTTTTTAGGTCATTCTGACCTACATTTCGACGATTTTTTTGAAAACTTTGATCCTTAATTTCACCAAGGGGAGATAATTTAGAAAATTTCCAAGGACATCATTGAAGTCGCATTGGCAAGATCTACTAACATTCTAAATTTCACGAAAATCGCACAACTATTAAAGAAGTTGTCAAATTGGTAATAACTTCCGGTTCGAAATGACAGCGACGAATTTTCGAAATGCCAAAATCCGAAATTGCAGATTTGAAGTAAATGTTTCAAGATACTCAAAGAAAAAAGAATTAGTAAAATAGGTCAAATAGTCACAAAGTTACAGCATTGTAGGTCAAATGCATTCCTTCGTAAAATTCGGTGATTTCGGATTCGTAAAACGTTTTGAAAATATATTTAATCAACAGCCACCACCCATTTTTGGGGGATAGGTAAAAGTTTCAGAACGATCCTATGGTTAGATTCTGAGAAATCCGATTTGTGGACAAAACACAAAAAAAAAATAACAATAACTAGATCTGCTAAGCAGATATTAAAGCTTTCATATTCACAGTCACTGTCACATGTCATAGAAATAATATGAACAGAAAAAAAAAAATCATTATAATGAGTAAAAATTTGGTGAAGTTAATTCGATTTTTCACTGGTAAATAATTAAATAGACAAGTGGCATAACTTGACCCGCATCCCATCAGCTATCCTGAAAAATGCTGGAAAAATTAAACAAGTAAATTGTGTTTAGTACTGGGTTAATTAAGACAGGCATATGCCTTTGCTATACAGGATGACATGAGGGAAATTTAGCTTGGGAGGTGTAGGCCTGCAGCCAAAATTTCTAGCTAGCTTAGAAACACAACTCCGCTACACGGTCTTCCATAAAAGAAAAACTATACATTTTTGGAAAGCTTATGATGCCAGGAAGACAAAATCTGGGAGTTCCAAGCAAAATGTTTGCAATTTATTGATTTAGGGCCAGATGAAATTCGTCAAAATTGTCAAATAAATGCTATTTGTGTACTAACAATTCTGAAGTTGACATAAAATTAAATAGTTGGTAAAACACCTCATGCCTTCATCCTTGGCAATGAACAGTTTATTGGACAGATTTTGATGTAAATAAAAATGCTCAAAACACAAATGTCATGGGTGAATAAAGAATTGTGGAAATCCATTAACGGTAAAAAAGAATTATCTCCCTTTCTGTCAAATGCCTGTAATTGATAGACTATCAGGTCTTGTATGAATCATAAGACCAGGTGTGGGCAAACAAGCCCAATAATTATTTTGTTTGTTGGATCTCAAGGGCCTGTTAGGGTTGGTTGTTGGATGTTTGCTCAGAAATTATCGCTTGTATGGAACATGCTAGAGTCGATTTGTAGCATATTCTAGCCAGGGGATATGTTTGACAGTAGTTGAGTGATATGCTTTTGAAATAATGGAGATCAGTAGCACTTTATAAGCATTGAACCACATGATTTTTTTCCACTAAGATAAACATTCTAAACCCACATACATGTTCCCTTTCAATTAGCCACTACAGTATTTTTACAACTGTACATGTAGCTGTGAACTACTATTTCGGATATGATTAATGGTCAAATTACAAACATACATGTAGATATAAGTTAAAAAAATAATATATGTATATGCATGCTTTATTTTACTTTACACGACCTCTAAAAATGCCCCAAATCGTAAAAATACGACTTTTTGGATCTCGATCTCCTTTTTTCGGCTACCCCGGACATTTTCAAAAAATGATACAATGATTTCACACAACAGGCCAGCTATTAGCCTCTCGATTGACAAGAGTTTCATCGCCCTCCATTCATTATAACCAATGTCATCGTGCCCTAAAGAATCAACAAATCAGCTTGCTTATCTCTGCTTACCCTAGGCAAAAAATGCTCATCTTTGAACTCAATCATGACATTGACCTAGTGAACGCCTACACCAAGTTTGAACATTCTAGCTTAATTAGAAGGAGAGTTCTTGTGTTCCAAAGTCCCGGCCCTTCAAATTGCTTCTATTTTTCATTTTCAATTCAAAATGGTGACCATCACGTGACCGAAATCAAAATTCTGATCCGATAGATTTTTAGGCATTCCTTCCAGGATTCCGAAAATATGACGCCCGAGTCTGTAAGTAAAATAGCAAAAAAGCCTTTTTGATTTTTCACGTTTAAAGATGGTGGCACTTCCGGTTCGATCGACAAACTCCATATTTTGTGTACGAATCAGTAATTACTTGTCTAGTATCGAATTTTTTTTTTAGGTCATTCTGACCTATATTTCGACGATTTTTTTGAAAACTTTGATCCTTAATTTCACCAAGGGGAGATAATTTAGAAAATTTCCAAGGACATCATTGAAGTCGCATTGGCAAGATCTACTAACATTCTAAATTTCACGAAAATCGCACAACTATTAAAGAAGTTGTCAAATTGGTAATAACTTCCGGTTCGAAATGACAGCGACGAATTTTCGAAATGCCAAAATCCGAAATTGCAGATTTGAAGTAAATGTTTCAAGATACTCAAAGAAAAAAGAATTAGTAAAATAGGTCAAATAGTCACACAGTTACAGCATTGTAGGTCAAATGCATTCCTTCGTAAAATTCGGTGATTTCGGATTCGTAAAACGTTTTGAAAATATATTTAATCAACAGCCACCACCCATTTTTGGGGGGATAGGTAAAAGTTTCAGAACGATCCTATGGTTAGATTCTGAGAAATCCGATTTGTGGACAAAACACAAAAAAAAAATTAATACTACATGTATATTATAGATACAAAGTGAATTAAATGAACCCAATTACATGTACTTTATATAAGCAATGTTTTTTTATTCATCGTTACTTTGAAATCACATTATTTTCATTGATGATAAAAAGGTTGTATTTGTACCGAATCCAAAAAGTATGTTGTATGACATTGCATTATCTGTACCAATTATTTATTTGCAAACCAATATACAATGTTTAGTTCTACTCCAATATATTTGTTTCAACCCATGATAGTTTATTCACTCTTCTCACTTAAATACAAGAATAACACACGATTAAATTACTGAAACAAGTAATGCTGGTAGATTATAATTTGATATTGTATACCATTTACTCTCTGTTAGATAAGGCGACGTGGTAATCTGTTAGATAAACATACATGGAAGTATATGTTAGATAACTACAATTTATGATATATTTTAAACCAAGGAAGTGGCCTTTCTAAAAATAAAAAAAAACTAGATCTGCTAAGCAGATATTAAAGCTTTCATATTCACAGTCACTGTCACATGTCATAGAAATAATATGAACAGAAAAAAAAATCATTATAATGAGTAAAAATTTGGTGAAGTTAATTCGATTTTTCACTGGTAAATAATTAAATAGACAAGTGGCATAACTTGACCCGCATCCCATCAGCTATCCTGAAAAATGCTGGAAAAATTAAACAAGTAAATTGTGTTTAGTACTGGGTTAATTAAGACAGGCATATGCCTTTGCTATACAGGATGACATGAGGGAAATTTAGCTTGGGAGGTGTAGGCCTGCAGCCAAAATTTCTAGCTAGCTTAGAAACACAACTCCGCTACACGGTCTTCCATAAAAGAAAAACTATACATTTTTGGAAAGCTTATGATGCCAGGAAGACAAAATCTGGGAGTTCCAAGCAAAATGTTTGCAATTTATTGATTTAGGGCCAGATGAAATTCGTCAAAATTGTCAAATAAATGCTATTTGTGTACTAACAATTCTGAAGTTGACATAAAATTAAATAGTTGGTAAAACACCTCATGCCTTCATCCTTGGCAATGAATAGTTTATTGGACAGATTTTGATGTAAATAAAAATGCTCAAAACACAAATGTCATGGGTGAATAAAGAATTGTGGAAATCCATTAACGGTAAAAAAGAATTATCTCCCTTTCTGTCAAATGCCTGTAATTGATAGACTATCAGGTCTTGTATGAATCATAAGACCAGGTGTGGGCAAACAAGCCCAATAATTATTTTGTTTGTTGGATCTCAAGGGCCTGTTAGGGTTGGTTGTTGGATGTTTGCTCAGAAATTATCGCTTGTATGGAACATGCTAGAGTCGATTTGTAGCATATTCTAGCCAGGGGATATGTTTGACAGTAGTTGAGTGATATGCTTTTGAAATAATGGAGATCAGTAGCACTTTATAAGCATTGAACCACATGATTTTTTTCCACTAAGATAAACATTCTAAACCCACATACATGTTCCCTTTCAATTAGCCACTACAGTATTTTTACAACTGTAATGTAGCTGTGAACTACTATTTCGGATATGATTAATGGTCAAATTACAAACATACATGTAGATATAAGTTTAAAAAAATAATTGTGTATCTGGGCTGGAATGAAGGGAAAGGTTAGAAAACAGGATGAACAGTTGTGAAATTATTTATTAAAGTGAAACAATCATTGAAAATCAAAATTAAACAGTTACTCTGCACATCAAATGTCATCAAAGTTAATCTTCATTATCATCATCACTGTCACTAAATGTATTAACATCAAATTCGGTCTCTTTAACAGTTTTTTTTTCATTTTCACATTGACTACACATGCACAGGTCTGTACAAGAAAGGGGGGTTGGGATGGCCTAGAGTGCCGCGCTTCGACCTCTAGCTGGTCGGTCACCTCTGGCTTGTGGCTGTGGCTTTGATCCCAGGTGTGAGCGTATGTGGCATGGAGATAGAGGCGTCTTCTCAACCTCGTGGGTTTCCTCCGGGCACTCCGGTTTCCTCTCACTGCTAAAGACCCATACGCGCAAGCGAATTATTGAAATAAAATTGAAACCGTATGTTAGTCCCAAAATGACCTAGTTTGTGTTGAGTGGACGTTAAACCCCATTTCTCTCTCTCTCTCTCTCTCTCTGTACAAGACAACTTTGCTGGCCATTTATGATTCTTTCTCTTATGACATCTTCACAGAATATATTGTATGTGGTTTAATATTCGACGGAGGGCTAGTCATCTTTGCTGAAAAATATAAATAAACATATACATGTACACAATTAAAACAAAATTCTGGAGCTTGGTTTACTCTCATTAATTTCGTACAACAGAGGAAAAAGACACTTAAACAGGGGTTAACATCTTATTTTCATGCAGAAACCAGCTAATGAAGACAGGAAGGCATTAGCAGTACAAGGAGAGATAGAGAGGAGAATTGCGGTTTAACGTCCACTGGACAAAAACATAGTAATTTCAGGACTCACCCATGGTTCAGTTTTATTTGAATAATACCAGTGGCAAGAAGGCGGAGAATACAAATAAAAAAAACATCACAAATATTTACCTTTCTGATAACTGTCTAAGAAATTCAGTACATGTATATTGCCTATAACATTTTTGGTGATATCTGACCTCAATGGCCACACAATCTTGCCCTCTGATATGCCTTAAAATATCTTCATCCTCTTTCAATTCAGCAGCTTTCAACAGTTGGCCTACAAACAAATTTGCAAACAAATTATACACCATATAGCGTTGAATGTTGTTTGTGCTCAAGGGTGGGGGAGGGAATGTCACTTTGAGGCCTACATGTACATGTACCTGGCTGGTCAACTCTGGCATGCGGTTTAGTTCAGATCCTTTGTGTGAGCGGAAATGGTCTAGAGACAGATCGTCTTAGCAAGGCACCTACAAGTGGGCCAAGAAAATAAAAAACAAGTTAACTTCTCTATGTTTCATCCCTTGTGCAAGCAAATGTGCAACACTTTAACCAATGACTGTGCCAAATCAACAAATGGGGTAAAGGGCTTTAATGGCTAGCTTCATAACAATTTTACAGTGATTGCAGTAGCACTTCTGATTCCATTTACAACAAAAACAACAACACAATAATTAAAAACTGTAGGATGAATATATTTAATATTTATTAGTAATAATTATAAATTTAGTAAGTAACATAATATTAACATTAGGCCTACCTGAGCCTGTTTGGGTCTGAGTCTGTGTTAATACATCCTTCTTCCTATTTTCTCCAACAAGAAAAATCTGTCACGTTTTTTACTTATAATACACACAACAGGCAGCACCGATTTACTCTTTCTTTTTGCTTCAGGAGCGTAATTTGTTTGGAGAGCTAGGTCCCAGATCGTCTACACTCCCGCTATTCCCTGGTTGGATTGTAGCCGGGGATTTTAATTTTTCTTTATCTATACGATTACGGGCAGACCCAATTCGGAATTTGTCTGTAAAAGGCCTGTAGCATGTTGGGTGAAATCCAGTATCTTTTGGCGCGTCGATAAATTCCTTGTTTGATTATATCACCCGAAGTCGCCTGTTCAGCTATCCATTTCGCTCGCCCATCAAGTTTTAGCCATTCATGGGCACATTCACGGAATTTATCCCAGCGAGATTTTGTAAATAATTGTTCTCGTTCCTTTCTAAATCCTTGGTAATGAATAATACAGCGTAAATTTGATTTACGTTACGACAAAGTCTAACACTGTAAGTACCAAATAGTCATACGAGATATGTGCATCTCATCAAATTCAGCTTATACCACACCCACAATAATGTTACGGAGTCAGTGAGTTCAAGTTAGACAATACGCTGACCTTCCACTGACCATGCTTATAATATAAAATCTGTCAATGACAGCTGATTCATTGTTTAGTTTTTTATATGATATATTTAATATCAATAATATATGTATATGCATGCTTTATTTTACTTTACACGACCTCTAAAAATGCCCCAAATCGTAAAAATACGACTTTTTGGATTTCGATCTCCTTTTTTCGGCTACCCCGGACATTTTCAAAAAATGATACAATGATTTCACACAACAGGCCAGCTATTAGCCTCTCGATTGACAAGAGTTTCATCGCCCTCCATTCATTATAACCAATGTCATCGTGCCCTAAAGAATCAACAAATCAGCTTGCTTATCTCTGCTTACCCTAGGCAAAAAATGCTCATCTTTGAACTCAATCATGACATTGACCTAGTGAACGCCTACACCAAGTTTGAACATTCTAGCTTAATTAGAAGGAGAGTTCTTGTGTTCCAAAGTCCCGGCCCTTCAAATTGCTTCTATTTTTCATTTTCAATTCAAAATGGTGACCATCACGTGACCGAAATTAAAATTCTGATCCGATAGATTTTTAGACATTCCTTCTAGGATTCCGAAAATATGACGCCCGAGTCTGTAAGTAAAATAGCAAAAAAGCCTTTTTGATTTTTCACGTTTAAAGATGGTGGCACTTCCGGTTCGATCGACAAACTCCATATTTTGTGTACGAATCAGTAATTACTTGTCTAGTATCGAATTTTTTTTTTAGGTCATTCTGACCTATATTTCGACGATTTTTTTGAAAACTTTGATCCTTAATTTCACCAAGGGGAGATAATTTAGAAAATTTCCAAGGACATCATTGAAGTCGCATTGGCAAGATCTACTAACATTCTAAATTTCACGAAAATCGAACAACTATTAAAGAAGTTGTCAAATTGGTAATAACTTCCGGTTCGAAATGACAGCGACGAATTTTCGAAATGAAAAAATCCGAAATTGCAGATTTGAAGTAAATGTTTCAAGATACTCAAAGAAAAAAGAATTAGTAAAATAGGTCAAATAGTCACAAAGTTACAGCATTGTAGGTCAAATGCATTCCTTCGTAAAATTCGGTGATTTCGGATTCGTAAAACGTTTTGAAAATATATTTAATCAACAGCCACCACCCATTTTTGGGGGGATAGGTAAAAGTTTCAGAACGATCCTATGGTTAGATTCTGAGAAATCCGATTTGTGGACAAAACACAAAAAAAAAATAACAATAATAATCTTAACAGAAACAATAAGCTTTCATATGTAATATGAAAGCTTAATAAAGGAAAATATATTTCATACAATTGTTATACTGTTACTGTTATCGTGAAGAAACATGATTGTTTATTTAATGTTGTTTATGACAAACATGTAATCATGTACATTTTTTAAATAAGAACAATTATGCTACATGTATGAATAACTCTCAAAAATTATGTTTTCATCAATCCAAGTATTTTTTTATTTGTATTACTTGATTTATACTGAATAAAGATTACACAAACATACAAAATGGTGTTGGCTGTGTGACTGAATTCCTCGTTGAGAAGTGGTATCGGGTGTCCCATAGAGAAGAAGCAAACCCTCCTTGTGATACACTTGTGAACATTTTAAAAGACCCATTTCGCTGTGTTCCAGAAAAATCCCCATTATAGCTAGTGCATTACATGGTTGTTGTTGGGGGAAAGGTGGGTCTTTTCTATTGGCAATGATTTACTTTTTATAGGCCCACATTGAAATGTGGTCGTATATTGTCGTCGCCCCCCTTTTGCTGTTAATATCCGATTGACTTTAAATTTATACGCAGTGTTTAAGGTCATAAGACGAAGAAGCCTTTGATTTGCTCTGCCCAGGCAACGTTCCTGTGCTCCGATTGCCTTCAAATATGCACAGAATGTACCTTGGGATTCTAGCTATCACATATTAAAAATAGAAGAGTGTTGGATTCCGAGAACGTTCAAAATAAATTCAAAACCCGCCCCCAACAATCAAAGGTTTTTTGCTTAAAAAATTGCCGTATTTTATCGAATTTTTATTGTTCTTGATATCTGAGGATTTTTCTCAATTTAGTATGTGATAAATATCATCGCGGCGCAGCCAACCGCTAGAAATTCCAGAGATTTGGACCACCGGAATGATGCCTCAGCAGTCAAAAAAGGTCAAAATAGGCGATTTCGGTTTTTAGTGTCGATACATCGTTACGGTCATTTTAAAAAATTGTCTTTTAAGGATAATGTGTATAGTACCAGTACCTATCACATACGGAAGAGGCGATAAAATCTCTTTGCATTTGCAATTTCAAAATTAATTAAAACCAATATTAAATTCCGAAAATCGTTTTTTTGCTAAAACATTTTTTTTTTAATCGGATCAAAATGGGAGTAAGGCACAGAGTCCGGGGTGGTAATGGGCGTATTGTGTCCAAATTTCATGGTTTTCGGACAATCGGTGCCGGTGTCACGGCGAAATTCCACTTTTTTCCCCTCATGGAAGCCGTAAATTGACTTGAAGCCAGGGTCCTTGAAGTTGTACAGCTGCACCCGGTGACCGATATTTATTTAACGGGGAATAAGTGATAATTCATATTATAGCAGTAAATAATTAAAATATTTCATAGGGATTATAATAATATCTATATCTTGTCTGGGTACAGGGTTAAAACCAATATTAAATTCCGAAAATCGTTTTTTTGCTAAAACTCTTTTTTTTTAATGGGATCAAAATGGGGGTAAGGCACAGAGTCCGGGGTGGTAATGGACGTATTGTGTCCAAATTTCATGGTTTTCGGACAATCGGTGCCGGTGTCACGGCGAAATTCCACTTTTTTCCCCTCATGGAAGCCGTAAATTGACTTAGAAAAAAAACGACGAAAGGCAGGTGACAAGAACAAACGACTTGAACGAATGCAGGTATCACCTTGAAATTTTCAGGGTACCTAGGTACCAACGTGAAAAGTTGCTCGCCGGAATTTAGTACTCATGGTACCTTTGGTTCCAGCGTAGCGCATGCGCGAAGTCAAATCCAGCTAAACTCGAAAACAACCTTGTCGGCACGGAAAACATCAAAGGAGAAATTCGAATAAAAAATGATACAATGATTTCACACAACAGGCCAGCTATTAGCCTCTCGATTGACAAGAGTTTCATCGCCCTCCATTCATTATAACCAATGTCATCGTGCCCTAAAGAATCAACAAATCAGCTTGCTTATCTCTGCTTACCCTAGGCAAAAAATGCTCATCTTTGAACTCAATCATGACATTGACCTAGTGAACGCCTACACCAAGTTTGAACATTCTAGCTTAATTAGAAGGAGAGTTCTTGTGTTCCAAAGTCCCGGCCCTTCAAATTGCTTCTATTTTTCATTTTCAATTCAAAATGGTGACCAGCACGTGACCGAAATCAAAATTCTGATCCGATAGATTTTTAGGTATTCCTTCCAGGATTCCGAAAATATGACGCCCGAGTCTGTAAGTAAAATAGCAAAAAAGCCTTTTTGATTTTTCACGTTTAAAGATGGTGGCACTTCCGGTTCGATGGACAAACTCCATATTTTGTGTACGAATCAGTAATTACTTGTCTAGTATCGAATTTTTTTTTAGGTCATTCTGACCTATATTTCGACGATTTTTTTGAAAACTTTGATCCTTAATTTCACCAAGGGGAGATAATTTAGAAAATTTCCAAGGACATCATTGAAGTCGCATTGGCAAGATCTACTAACATTCTAAATTTCACGAAAATCGCACAACTATTAAAGAAGTTGTCAAATTGGTAATAACTTCCGGTTCGAAATGACAGCGACGAATTTTCGAAATGAAAAAATCCGAAATTGCAGATTTGAAGTAAATGTTTCAAGATACTCAAAGAAAAAAGAATTAGTAAAATAGGTCAAATAGTCACAGAGTTACAGCATTGTAGGTCAAATGCATTCCTTCGTAAAATTCGGTGATTTCGGATTCGTAAAACGTTTTGAAAATATATTTAATCAACAGCCACCACCAATTTTTGGGGGGATAGGTAAAAGTTTCAGAACGATCCTATGGTTAGATTCTGAGAAATCCGATTTGTGGACAAAACACAAAATATGGAGTTTGTCCATCGAACCGGAAGTGCCACCATCTTTAAACGTGAAAAATCAAAAAGGCTTTTTTGCTATTTTACTTACATATGTAATATGAAAGCTTAATAATAATCTTAACAGAAACAATAAGCTTTCATATGTAATATGAAAGCTTAATAACAATAATAATCTTAACAGAAACAATAAGCTTTCATATGTAATATGAAAGCTTAACTAGATCTGCATAGCAGATATGAAAGCTTTCATATTAACTGC